CGGGGGCCAGCCCACGGGTGGGCATGACTATGGGTGAGCCTCCGGGCTGCCCTGCCGCCGTGGTCCTGCTGCAAGCTCTTCCAGCCACCCCACGGAGCCGTGCTCCCTGCCCTTCCCGAGGCAGACCTTGCTGTGAGGAAGGCAGAGCCTGCTGGCCGATGCCCAGGGCTGCTGCGTCCCCAGCAATGCCCAGCCTACTGTCAGTGCTGGGTGCTGCAAAGCCACTCCTGGCTGCTGTGTGTTGGCGGGATGAAGGGCGGTGACCAGCATAACCCTCTGCCCCCCGCTCTGATTCGCAAGGTCCTTGGCCAGGGAGGAGTCCTTTCTTGTCTATTCTTTCTTGTGGTCATCCAGAGGTGCTTGCAGCTGTGTCAAGCATTTGCTGCGCACTTCTGCTGAGGATTCTGGAGCTTCCTCAGGACTCACCATTGGCTCCTTGTGTTACAAAACATTTGTGGACCTGCTGGGAGGGATAAGTGGGGTGTCACTTTGCTACTGCTTGCACCTCAGCTTTGGGAAAGGTGGGAAGGTGGACTTCTACCTCTCACTATGGGTATCAGGGGCTTATTTTTCTGTCATCCCTCACTGTCACTGCTACCTCTGGATTGCAGCACTGAAAGCATCCTAGATGCAGACAGCCAGGACTTGCTGCAACCCGGGCAACTTCCTCGGGCGGCAGTCGCTGCCGTGCTCCTGAGTGCAAAATGGCTGGCTCCTCCAGCTTCCTGCCGGCTGACTCACAGCGGGGCACCCATGGCTCTGGAAATCCGGTTTGGTTTGGATGCTCCTCTGCCTCCGTTGTGCCTGATGACGCATCCAAGTCCTTGGCAACAGCAGGGCTGAGGCACTGAAAATTTTGGTTCTTGTCGAAAGGGCTGCAGGCTCTGGGGTGCCTCGCCTGGAGGGAGTGAGGCTGTAGAGCCCACCTCAGCCTGGCTTCCCCTGAGGGACCTGGGGCTGCCCTTGAAGCCCTGAGCTAGGGGACCCTCCCACCTCAGCCCTTCGGTTCAGTTAGGAAGTGCAGCTAACGCTTCCTCCTCCTCCAGAGCTAATTTAGGGAACTGAGCCTGAGAGCATGGCAACCGTTGACTGCTGCAAGTCCCCTCCCCTTGCCGGGCACCCATCCTCAGTGCCGTCATCTCCTCAGCCCCCAGCGCCCGGGTGATGCTCTGTCATCTCGGCCTGCAGCCCTGTGGTTGGAATGGCAACGGGGGCTGTGACAGCGGCTGCAGGGCCTCAGCCCTCAGGCCCGGTGGGTGTTCGGGCAATGGAGAAGATGCTCATGGGGTGCTTCCCAGGGCTGTGGGCAGGGGCAGTCCAAGGAGTGTGCTGGCCTGATGTCCTGGGCTCTAGCAGATAGGTCTCCATCTCCTGGGGTCCCTGAGGTGGGCAGTGCAGTGATGTGATGCACCAGATTTGGGAAAGGGCAGGCGACTGGGATGGACACAAGGCAGCCAGGCTACAGAGCAGTGTGGCTTGCACAAGCTGACAAGGGCCTGGGCTGCCCTGCCTGGGTTGTGCACCACTTACAGCAATGGCACTTGTGGTCCCGGGTGGGATCTGACCATGCCTCCCACTCCCCAGCGCGAGTGCATCTCCGTCCACGTCGCCCAGGACGGCGTCCAGATGGGCAACACCTGCTGGGAGCTGTACTGCCTGGAGCACGGCATCCAGCCCGACGGGCAGATGCCCAGCGACAAAACCATCGGCGGAGGGGACGACTCCTTCACCACCTTCTTCTGTGAGACCGGGGCTGGGAAGCACGTGCCACGGGCCATCTTTGTGGACCTGGAGCCCACCGTGATCGGTGAGTGCACCTCAGTTGGGCAGCGACGGTGGTCACTGTCTCTGAGAACAACCCACTGCAGGATACTCTAGGGTGGCTCCTGCCACCTTTCCCCAGGGCCAATTATAAAATCTCTGACATTGTGCCAACCTCTCCTAGATGAGGTTCGAGGAGGAGTCTACCGCCAGCTCTTCCACCCTGAACAGATGATCACCGGCAAGGAGGATGCTGCCAACAACTATGCCCGTGGGCACTACACCATCGGCAAAGAGATCATCGACCAAGTGCTGGACAGGATCCGGAAGCTGGTAGGTGCCCGCGGAGGATGGATGTGTCCTCCTGGGCTGGGCTCCAGCATCCTGCTGGGGCTGGGAGCGTGGGGCGAGCCCTGCAGTCCCATGGGAGGGATCTGCAGCTACCCAAGCAAAATTTTGAGACTTCCCTCTGGAAAACTCAGTGCATGGAGGAATCTTACTTGGCTCTCTCTGCAGGCTGACCAGTGCACAGGCCTCCAGGGATTCCTTGTGTTTCGTAGTTTCGGAGGGGGAACTGGCTCCGGGTTCACCTCCCTGTTGATGGAGCGACTCTCCGTTGACTACGGCAAGAAGTCCAAGCTGGAGTTCTCCATCTACCCTGCACCACAAGTCTCCACTGCCGTGGTGGAGCCCTACAACTCCATCCTCACTACGCACAGCACATTGGAGCACTCAGACTGCGCTTTCATGGTGGACAACGAAGCCATCTATGACATCTGCCGCAGGAACCTGGACATTGAGCGCCCAACCTACACCAACTTGAACAGACTCATCAGCCAGGTTGTCTCGTCCATCACAGCATCGCTGCGGTTTGATGGGGCCCTGAATGTTGACCTGACCGAGTTCCAGACCAACCTGGTTCCCTACCCTCGCATCCACTTCCCCTTGGCCACCTATGCTCCAGTGGTTTCGGCTGAGAGAGCTTATCACGAGCAGCTGTCGGTGGCCGAGATCACCAACTCCTGCTTTGAGCCGGCCAACCAGATGGTGAAGTGCGACCCTCGCCATGGCAAGTACATGGCCTGCTGCCTGCTGTACCGCGGGGACGTGGTGCCCAAGGACGTCAACGCCGCCATCGCCACCATCAAGACCAAGCGCAGCATCCAGTTTGTGGACTGGTGCCCCACGGGCTTCAAGGTGGGCATCAACTACCAGCCGCCCACGGTGGTGCCGGGGGGGGACCTGGCCAAGGTGCAGCGCGCTGTCTGCATGCTGAGCAACACCACGGCCATTGCCGAGGCCTGGGCTCGCCTGGACCACAAGTTCGACCTGATGTACGCCAAGCGAGCCTTCGTGCACTGGTACGTGGGCGAGGGCATGGAGGAAGGGGAATTCTCTGAGGCGCGGGAAGACATGGCCGCTCTGGAGAAGGATTACGAGGAGGTGGGCCTGGACTCCTACGAGGATGAAGAGGAGGGTGAGGAGTAGAGAAGCCCCTGCCAAAAAGGACCGTCTTCCTCCCTGTGTTACCTGCAGAAACCCTTTGCAATAAACCATTTCAGAGCCTCTGTGTCTCCCACTGACCCCCCAGCTGTATTGGTTTCTTGCCAGGTCAGGTGTGTGGTGAGTGCTTCAGCTCTGCTGCTGGTGCTGCTATGCTTCCTCCCCGCGCTCTGCTCCAGCTCCGACTTGCTGCCCATATCGGTAAGAGCCCCATACCAGGGGGATATGGCCAGGACACATGATGTGCTCTGGGGAAGTGCCCAAGCATGTCCATCAAAGGGACCCGGAGGAGTGTTGATGATGTGATGGGATAAGCACCTAGCTCAGGCATGGGGTCCTCTGTCTGGGAGCACCTCTGCTCGCTCCCTGCCTGGCTGTGCCAGCGCTCCACCATCTCCCTGGGGCACATGGCCCCCCTCTGCCTGCCCCAGCTTGTCTTCTGCATTGTCCCCATGTTGAGCCCTCTCCCTGCCCTGCCTGGCGGTGAAAAGTCCGAACATCAGCTCCTGACTTCAGCTGCAAACTGGAGATTTCTGTTACCCATTATCCAGGACACTGGGTCCAGAGATTAATTTTCCCTGCTTACCACTAATGCTCCAGATATAGTGACCCACAGGGGCTGTCCTCCCCTGCCCTCCTCCTCCCAGCATGCACCCGCGTCAGCTGGAGGGGAAAGTGTGAGCCAGCCCCGGACTGCACCGATTTCTGGAGCACAGCCAGGCGCTCGTCCCACTGCGCAGGGATGCTGGCACGGTTCCCCATGCCCGTGACCAGAGTGCTGGGCTCAGACTGA